AAAAAAACGTGCTAAATCTGAAAAAAAATCCATATGAAGGAACATCAACCCAACCAGTAATAAATTTGGGTGTACACATTTTAATATGTGTCGTTGTGCACTTCACAGATGCTTTTTCGTAATTAAAAATTACTTCTTTCTTAAAAATAACTTGTTCATTATTCTTCATTTAAATTACCAAGCTTGAAAATTTATCTTTTTATGTTTACTTCACTAGTTGTGTACATTATTAAACGCCTGGAACTTTTGATTTTCGACATTTGAAAAAAAATGCATCTAACCGTTTGCTCCTTATAAAGAAAAAACGCCCAAAATTTAATTTCACAAACTTAAAAAACATTCCAAATGTTAGTCAGAGTTATAAGAGATCAGAGTGTCATATTTCATCAAAACCGTGAGCCATTTATGAGTGAAGAGCAGTCTCGCATAGTGCATTTTTTTATTTTCATCGAATTTCAAATCACCCTATGACGATGAAAAAAGTTCTTAATTAAAAAAATACAACATCATACATCTACAGGTTAGGGTATCTAATTTGACCGCTCATTTTAGAAAGTCCTTTTCAAAAGTATTCTCAAACCAAAATTTTCTTAAATCTCTTTCGTCTGACATTGTGATACACATGTATTTCAATAAATTGATGAACTAACTCGAATTTGATTGTTTGAACAAATAGCAACCCTTCTAAATAGAGGTCAGGAATAAATCACTTTCAAACCCGTCAAACTGAATAATTTGAATGTAATTTTTTAAACACGTGCCAACTCGCTACATTCGAAATGTCTAAACTAAAGATTTCTTACTGGCTAATAAGAATGTGTAGCTGTGGTTGTGGAGTATTATTGCTGATGTAGCTAGCGAAATAGCTTGTGGCTGTGGTACTACATTCTGGCCCGTTATAATCGCCTTTAGAAAAAAAGTAGAGCGATTTTGACATTAGCCGTTTGTTTACATTTGTTCGTTGTTTACAATTTGGTTGTAGCTTTTTAATTAAATTTTCTTAATTTTCGCTTGTGACAACGTGTGTACACATAGGGAATAGAATAATTTAATACAACGACATGATTTATATAGAATTTGCATAATAAAAACGATTATTCTTGCGTTCAACATTTACACGGTTTTCTTCTTTCTCTTCGTTCGTTAAACAAAGATGGCGTCGAGATTTCAACAGCTAACTTGTAACTTTTTTCTTGCTTTCCTTCTCGCGTGATCTTGTGTCTTTCGTTTATGAATACCCTCTTCAAAATATTTATAAGCTATTAATTTCTGAAACCCCTTTCGTTTGGTACCCATATGATATTGGTGATACATATGTATTTCTCTTACCTAGTACGATTTTTTAAACAGGTGGCAACCCTCCTATAGTTCAGCTATGAAACAAAGCTTTTCAAAACCATTTCGATTAATACCCAGTTTGTTATAATTGATTTAATTTTTTAAATAATTTGAATATAATTTTTTAAAAGGTGGCAACTCTTTTCAAAAAAGTAAAAACTTATTGCACATCTACAGTGCAAGGCTTTTAGTTTGACGCCTCATTTTGGAAAATCGAACGAACTAATAAACTAAATAACTTGAATTTAATTTTTCAACAGGTGGCAACTCTTTTCGAAAAACTAAAACCGATTTGGGGTACAGATCTTTTATAATAATATAATAGATTGGCACTTACACATATGTTAGTGTTTGGCCGAGCTTCTCCTCCGATTTGTGGCGTGCGCCTTGAAGTTGTCACACAAAGCGGAGGGACCTACAGTTTTACGCCGACTCCGAACGGCGATTGTATTTTTATGAGAAGCTGTTTTTCATGGCAGAAATACACTCGGAGGTTTGCCATTGCCTGCCGAGGGACGACCGCTGTTAAGAAAAAACCTTTTTTCTATATTTTTTGCGATGTTGCTTTGACCAGGGTTTGAACCCGGGTGCTGATGAGTGAAAGCGCGCACTGCTTACCTCTACACCACAGCGGCCGACAGATCTTTTATCCTGGACAAAAAAATCCCGCGTATTACATATACAGGCCAATTCTGAACAGAAGCTCCCTGGGAGTTTTCTCTCTTTTCCCTTTCCTCCTATTATGAAAAAAAAGTTTTCGGGGAAAATGCTATTCCCTGGGAGTTAACTATTGGAGGATTTCTTTCTCGTGAGAAACAAATTCCCGGAGAACGAATTCCCCGGAAATATTAAGAATTGGGCTGATATAGATTATTTCAAAATTTAGATTTTGTGGGAAAACGCAATCAAAGTTTGATCAACTAATTCAGTTGGTATACAAAAAGATAGATGGAAAGACACACATCTACGCCACTTTTGGGAAGTTTGGTCATCTGCTAGGCTGAACATACATATTCTTCCTATCAAGATTAGGTTAGGTTAGGTTATCCTGGCTGCCCTCATCCGCGCAGGAAAGCGCACACTTAGGCCTCCATGGGCCTATTGTGATACCATATTTGAGGCTCATACGTCCCTCCTCCTACCTCAGAAATTTAACCAATTTGTAGCTCTGATAAAGCGCACAAAATCGTAGATACTGGCCGAGTCCAGTTCAGCCAGACACTCGAAAGAATAGCGACGGAGCGAGCGTCGACGGGCTCTTGCCAAAGCGGGACAGTGGCACAGGTAGTGCTCCAAGCTCTCGATCTCCTCCTCATCGCGGCAGCTACGACAGTAGTCGTTTGGCTGCAGACCCATCCTGGCAGCGTGGGTTCCCATAAGGCAGTGCCCGGTGAGAATTCCGATAACATGGCGGAGCATTGGTCGCTCCAAACGAAAGCTTATCAAGCTTATAAATTTTAAGATCAAATCACCAAAAACGTAAATTTTGAATTACTCTCTATATTATTAAACGTGCGATATGCCCACATGCATTCTTTTGTTGTTGCCTTTTTTATTTTAACACATTCTGCTGTTCAGGCACCCCTTCTCTTGGGGTGAAAGTATACTTCACCATACCAATTCAGAAAGAAGCAATGTCTCACTCGCGTAATAATGCAAGGAAAGCTCATTAAGGGTGGTTTATTGCCCCTTCATTGGAAAGCTATTCAACTAAACATCCATATATACATCCTTGTTAAGACTTTGTCTGTATTCACATTAGGGATGTTAATCCCGGGAGTTTCGGGATTCGTAATATGCACTGATGGCAATAATAGAAACTCCATTTCTTGACCAGCATTGGCTATATTTCTTTTTTTTTTATTAATGATTAACAAATTTTTTTTTCATAAATGTCTAGCTCACTATACATGTAACACCGTGCGATAGTAAATTTTACACAAAAAAATCTATATATTTCTGAAACCATGGGCCAAATATAGTAAAATTGTGTTTTTGTTTTTTTACTCGGACGTCAGTAATCTAAAAATGATTTAACAAATTCAGTGAAACGTGCTTAGAGAAAAAGTATGGGTATCAAATTAAAGACGAAGTTCTGTAGAATTCTATCAGATTAAATATTTTGGTGTATGGACTGGTAAGTATTGAAAATGCCCTTTTAAATTTGTATGCTTGAAATTTCGCAATATTTATTTTTGAAAAAATTATATGTTAAGGACTTGTATAAACTAGATAACATCCTCGAATTTCGTCCTTCTAACTTCATCAGCTTAAACAATTACCTGTTCTCCCTTGTGAATCCAAAAAATTTTAATTTTGTTAAATTCCAAAGAAATTTCCTCTTGCATTTGGTACCCATTTTTTATTTTACATTGCATTGGATTTTTTAAATAATTTTTGGAATTAATCATAACTTTAAAATTTTAAGGTCCTTGAAAATAAATTCTGACGTCCGAGAGAAAAAATAAAAACGCCACTTTAAATAAAAAAGTAGGTTTCAAACCCATCTATTATTATTAATTTTATGGTAGGCGACATAGAAGCAATTTTTTGGATTTAAGTTGTTGAAAAGTAATGAATATCTAAATCCCGGAATTCGTCCCAGGATTGCGATAACAACATCCCGAAAATCCCCGGGATCGTAAAAAGCGCAAAAAAATTAACATCCCTAATTCACATATTTATTTACAGTCGTGGCTATTCCTATTATCCTTTTTAAATTCTCCTACTTCAGGTGCGGCACAATGTGAAGCGCGGTAATTATGCCAATTTAGAAGGCAAGGATGTGGCTTTCTTCGAATCAATTGTTGGCAAGAATCATATGGTTCAAGAAGACTTGCAGGGTTACAATGTCGATTTTTTGCGAAGTGTGCGGGGTGAGTTGTTCGGCGCTGAGGGTATTGAAGCTCTCAATGCCAGACTTAGTAAACAAAAATTCCGCTTAAATATAAATACGTACATACATATGTAGGTGATAGTCAACTTGTGCTGCGACCCAGCTCCACTCAGGAGGTATCCGCCATACTGAAGTACTGCAATGAACGGAAATTGGCGGTTTGTCCGCAGGGCGGTAACACCGGCTTGGTAGGTGGTTCTGTGCCGGTTTGTGATGAAATTGTGATTTCTTTGGCGCGACTCGACAAGATTCTACACATCGATGAGATCACTGGTATAGCGGCATGTGAAGCCGGTTGCATACTGGAGAATTTGGATTTGAAAGCGAGAGAATCGGGATTAGTAGTGCCGCTCGATTTGGGCGCCAAGTCAAGCTGTCACATTGGCGGTAATGTATCTACAAATGCTGGAGGATTGCGTGTATTGCGTTATGGTAATCTGCATGGCATCGTATTGGGAGTGGAAGCGGTAAGTATTTAGATATTGATTAAAAAAAGTTTGTGAAATTCGTAATGAGTTCAATCTCAGGTTCTAGCTAGTGGCGAGATACTTGATCTCATGTCTGACTTCAAAAAGGACAATACAGGCTATCATTTGAAGCATCTCTTTATTGGTTCTGAAGGCACACTGGGCGTGGTGACCAAAGTCTCTATGTTGTGTGCGCCGCAACCACAAGCACAGCATGTAGCGTTTTTGGGTAAGCGATTATGTATTTGGAGGGTTAGATAATAAAATGACAGAGCTTGCTGGTGAACAACAGGAGGTTAGTCTTACATATATGTATGTATGTTTGTATATAGATTATCGGTGCGTAAATAAATCGAGAGTCAACTTCACTCTGTAATAAACCCCCCCCCCCCC